GGTTGGAGATTTGGCTCAGCGGTTGAGTGCCTTGAGTTCAATCCCTAGCACCCCCGACACACACACACACACACAAAGAAATTATGTAATCTATACACCTGGGATTCGAATTTTTAAAAGAAAGTGTTTGCAGAGATGATAGAGCACAGTGGCCAAGCTTGTGAAGTCTGAAATTAGATTGCTTGAACTCAAATATTGGCTGTTAAAATGTAGCCAATCACTGAAGTAGCTTCACTTTCCCTCTCTTTATGATGGATTTGATAAGTGTAGTATGTGCCTCCTAACACTGTGATATGAAGTAAAATCCTGAATGTAAAATACTTATCACAATATAGGCATACAGTCGATGCTCAATACTTACAAATGAAGATGCTAAATTATGCATTTGACGCACATATAGACAGTCCAGTCTTCCTCTTCTCATAGCAAAACAATGAAATTCTAAGTTCGGAGTGAGCATGTAAAACAGCCTTTGATGTATTATTTTGCAGTTTCCTCTTTGGACAACCTTATACTTTCACTCCCATTTTGTTGTTGGAATGGAAGATAATGAAATGGTTGCAAAATCCTGCCTTTCTTTTCAAGTGTTTTAATTTGTATGTTAACTCTCTTCTCAGAGGCTGCTGTTTAATAATACATATTTCCAGGAAAATGTATCTTTTAAATTAAGTTGTTTGCATTTCAAATGCAACATGGTAACAATGAGAGTGTGTGCCCATTATTCTCCAGCCTTAGATTTCACATCTCCTCATTCATTGAAAGGATGTTGCTCCTTCTTCGTAGCTGCCTACATAATCTTAACAGATACATGAGCACCATCTTTTGGCAAAGACGAATCATGAATTTAATTTTTTTTCATGATGCTTATCTTTCACCTCTTACTCTGTATTACTTATCCTAAAATTGACTCAAATGCAGATAACACTGAATTAGTTATATTGCCAATTTTAACTTCGCCCTTAAAAAATGTGCAAAAAAAAAAACACCATTTATTGTTTTCACAAGAGCTCTAAAACAGCAGAGATATGGTTTAATAATATGCTTTTAGGAATCCATAGCCATCTTACCTCTGCTTATCATATACATCTGTTGAAAAACTCCGGACTCAGGAGGAGCACAAACTCCTTGAGAGTCATTTGTGCTCCGTCCTTATGACAAATGGACTCAGGATCCCTCCAGAGTTGCCAGATGATACCACACTGATTACCCATGCTTTGGTCCAGAATCACTCAGTTTTGAGGTTGGATACAAGCCTCTGTCTTTCTCCCTGGTGAAGGCCCCTGTTAAGTTTATGTCAGACCCTTCTTCTATGTGACTGATACTTTGGAGGCCAATGATGCTACCATATTCCTGACTGTTTTATATTTTAAAACTCAATATACAGCCAGGCGTGGTGACCCACACCTATAATAATGCTAGCTACTCTAAAGCTTGAGGCAGGAGGATCACAAATTCAAGGCCAGCCCCAACAAATAAGCGAGGCCCTGTCTCAAAATGAAAATTAAAAAGGACTGAGGATATAGCTCAGTGGTTGGGTACCTTGGGTTCAATGATTTGATTCCCAGTACTGGGGGGGGAAAAAAGTCACTATACAAAAAAAAAAAAAAATCCTGAATCTATACTTATTCAACTTAATAGAAAACTGAGTTGCACAAATTTAGTAAATTTACTGTATAGGGGAAAATTTCCCTTTGTTTACATATTACTCTTGATTTCAACCTTCTCTACTAATTTGGTATATGTAGTACATTCTTTAAGTTCAAATATTTAATGCAGAAACTTTTATATTTACTGTGAAGTCTAAGAAAAATATTAGATGCACTGACTCTTAGCTTACAGTGACTTGCTGATTATTATGTCTTGAACACAACAATCAAGATATATTTTTAATGAAAACATACATTTCATTAAATTCTAATGAAAGAACAAATTCTTATGGCACTATGCCCTTCTTCAGCAACATTTTTCCCAATATATGTACCAAGGCACTCCAGTCCTGTGTTGAAAACAAACTGGCAAATTATGGGGTATTTTTAAATTTCTAGGAAAACATGGCTGTGTCAGATAATGTGCAAACTGCAAGCTCAAGATAGTTCACAGTTTTAATATTAGATCATAGTATATTCCTTTGATGATGATCTTTATAGGGCAGAATTTTCTGTCATTTCTAAATTTTAAAAAAAATTAAAAATTAAAAAATATTGCCAAGAAAAAAATCAATGTGGAATAAAAATAAAGATGGCAAAGTCTAATCCAGTGCTGAAGTTTGAGGAGTTGTATCATGTCCAACAGATGCACACAGCCTATTAATAATTAATTGTAGCTATTTAAGAAAGAAATGTAAAATATCATTTTCTCTCAATGTAAGTACCTTACTTTTTAAAGAAGCTACTGGGTTGTAGTGCATAAATATTTAATAACCCCTTATGAGCAATGTGAATAATTATGAGTCACTGAAGGTGCTGTGAACTAAGAAATTTGGAAACCTCTTCTTCAGCATTTGATCACACTGTTACGAGAAGGATGTTCCCAGGAAAAGAAACTTCTCATGCAACATCCCTTCAGGGAAGGAGTGTCTGGCATATTTAGAAGCCAGTGTGTGTGTCTAGTACAAGACAAGGGTACTAGGCCACCAGCACTACTCACAGACTAGCACTGACCAGTACCAGTACCTTGTGATGGACTGGCACAAGATGATGTGGCAGAAGCAGAGCAAGTCATCTTGGAAGCACATTGTAGACCAAACAATTGACTTAATATTCTCACCTGAAGGTAACTGTTAAGAATGTTAATACTGAAAAGCACACTCAAAAGTTGTATTCTAAAAGAAGGATCATTATGGAAGTCACTCTCAATAATAATATAGTACTTTATAAATATCTGAGGCAAGCTAATAACCCATGAAAGACAATGAGAAGCTGAAACAATTTAAGCCTAGTTAGAGTCAAATGGTCAGATCATATAAACATACACACACACACACACACACACACACACACACACACACACAGAGAGAGAGAGAGAGAGACATATATATTCTAGAGATCAGCCATTAATTGAATGTGAGATCTAAAGAGAAGAGATTTATGGACAACTACCAGACTTTTGTCTTGCACAATTTGAAGATCAGTAGATACACCAAAATAAGCAATCCAGATGGAGGAATATACCTTTATGGAATAATTAAGTAGAATGGTGTAAGAGAACTACATGCATGAATCCAGAGCGCCATTAAAAAAAAAAAAAAAGAAAGAAAGAAAGAGGGATATTTCATGCCATTAAAGTGGAACAAGCTATCCTCCTACATTTGAAGTACACAGAATGATAAAAACGTAGACAGTCATAATCTCTGAGATTAGGTTCAGTTGCAAAAAATCCAAAACAATGGAAGGAAAATAAGACTGAAATGATCATCAGGAGTGTGGCACCTAATTTTCTACTCTATGCTCAATGGTGATTCAAATTCCAAGATGGTTGTTGGAGCTTCAGTATCTTATCAGGCAGAAAAATGAAGAGAAAATATGTCAATCCCCCCCTTCCCTCCATCTCTCCCTCTCTCCCCCACCTCCACCTCTCTCTCTCTCTCTCTCTCTCTCTCTCTCTCTCTCTCTCTCTCTCTCTCTTCTATACCACATGCACCCTTCCTTCACTTACCCTGGATCAAAAGTTAGATGTCAGGTGACCAATTCATCCAAGATTTCCCAGGATCTTCCCAGTTTTCACACCCCAGAAAATCCCTGGGTTTCAGGAAAGTTGGGATGCTTGGTCACTGTCGTCACATGTAGCTGTGAGAGAAGCTAGTAGAGATAGCATTTTAGCTGATGAAAAATGACTCAGGAGGAAAGGGCAATGGGTGTGCCATAGATATGAGCAAGCAACCACAATGCCTTCTTCTATGGCTGGTGAATGAGACTTGGACACACCAAGGCTTAAGAGGTGAGTAGAGACAGAGGTCATTAAGACCGAAAAATAACCACTTAAAATGTAGAAGAACAACAATGGTAAGAGAAATTGCAAGGATAAATTTAATCAAATGCCTTATAATCAAATGCCACAGACAAAGCTGAAAATTCTCATTTTAAGATCTAGTTTCAGAGTAATAAAACCATGGAGTTGGAGTAGATATCTAAGGAGGAATAGGTGACCAAAACTTAGAAAACAGCACAGAAAAGGAGGGTAAAGGCAAATGAAAACAAACTTCACTTCCCTAGAAACTTAACCACCATCCTCAACTTCCCCATCCCTAATGCTTGGACACCCTTTGAGAACCCACACTTTCTATGCCTTGGAAACCTTACTTCCTTAACAGAGAGCCTCCTGTCGTTTAGGTGCTCTGTCCTGGCTAATTTTTTCTACCTGACAACTTCACAAAGTTCTTTATCTGTACCTGTGGCAGGCACTGTCCACTGTCAAGTTCAAGTACTCAATTCTCAAGTTCTCAGATCTATGACCCTAAGATTTTAGACATAAAGAGGCAGAAACTATGGCTTTGGGGGGCAAATGAAACATAATTTCCTTGTAAAAATAAAAACAGGACCTCCAATTGCTCTATTTCCTCCTATTTTAGACTACCTATTTTTTCCGGCTTACTTGCACAATGACCTCACCACACCATTGTTCATCTTATCAGGATTTTAAGCCTCTGCTGTTGAGAGCCACAGCCAAAGGGGCTCCAGCAAACTTCCAGCTGCCAACTGATTGGCTCCTCTGCGGTAATGCTCATTGGGTTGTTTCCCTGCCCTTTCAGACCATGGAGCTGCTCATTGGGGGACTTTTTTGGCTCCGCCCACACGACCCAGCCAATCGGCCTCAAGAGCAGGAGGAGTGGGGGAGGTTGAGAGGCTTGTGGGAAGCCGGTGGTAGCAGTTGGGCTCTAAAGGTTTTCCTGAAGAGCTGTGTGGTTTGGTGTGTGTGTTCTAAAAATAAAGTTCATTTCTTTTGACAAGTGGCTCCTGAATTATGCCCAGCCAGACTGCGGCAATTGGTAGCCCGTACAGGGAATGAATCCCCAACCTTGGCGTTATCAGCACCATGCTCTCCGCCCGGCCACGAGAGCCTCGCAGTTGCGTCACCACAGTCCTCCAGACAAGATGGACACCGCGGAGGAAGACATATGTAGAGTGTGTCGGTCAGAAGGAACACCTGAAAAACCTCTTTATCATCCTTGTGTATGTACTGGCAGTATTAAGTTTATCCATCAAGAATGCTTAGTTCAGTGGCTGAAACACAGTCAAAAAGAATACTGTGAATTATGCAAACACAGATTTGCTTTTACACCAATTTATTCTCCAGACATGCCTTCACGGCTTCCAATCCAAGACATATTTGCTGGCAGCTGGAAGTTTACTGGGGCCCCTCCGGCTGTGGCTCTCAACACTCTGCCTTCTCCTACCAGGTTTCTTCTGCCTCTCCAGCTTTGCACATGGCCTATCCATCAACCACACTTTTTTTCCCCCCAGTATTCTTGTTTCCTCTGTTCTTCTTCTCCTGATAAATCTTAGAATAGTCTCTGATCCTTGCTCAAGGAACTCATATTAAACTTCTTGTCAACTCTCTCTTGTCCTTCACAGACAGCTACTGGATTCTCAAAATTCAGACCACTACCTTCAGTTGCCTGCACTTTAATCTCAGCAGGTGATCTTAACCTTCTACCTCAGAGATTAAAGAGAAGCCATCAAAGAGGAGCTACCCTGCAAAGCAATATGAATGCACTCAACTCTACCTTCCCTGGTCTTCTTATGATATTGATAACTACTCTCCTCCATCCATGTGTTCCCACACCCTTGACTATTTTTTAGCACATCCCTACACATAAGCAAGAAAAAATTGCTCTATAAAATCTTGAGTTTTTTTTTTTTGTTCCTATTCTCTTTTTAATCACATATTTTAAATGAGTTCTTTATGCTCCCTACCTCTGTGTATACTCCTCAAACCAACAAGTTTGCCATTTATTCCACTCTGGATTCTGCCCCTCTCACTCCACTGCAGTGACTTTCAAGGAGATCACTGGTGACCCTCATTCTGTTGCAGCTAACAACATGTGATTATATTCCTTTTGCTTGAACTGGGTCAGGACACGGTAGGGCTTCAGAATTAAAGTATAGTATCTGAGTTCAGATTACATCTTCACCACTTGCCAGCTGTGTGAGTTTGGGCAATTTGTTAATCTTCTAGCACCTGATTTTATTTGTAAAGTGCAGATAATAAAGAAAGTTACCTAAGAGAGTTGATTTGACAGGTTAATTAGAGAAATGATACTTAGAAGAGCATGCTGTACAATATGCATGTGGAATAAATGTTAATTGTATCAAAACCAGTTTTATTCATCTCCTTGCTGGGAGACAGTTCTCTGTGGGTTCCTCACATTTTTGCACATAAGGAGAAGAGGCAAGGATAACCTTTTGTCCTGGAATATCTTTTCAAGGATTTTTGCAGATGTATTTTTTTAAGAACATAGAGACTCCTTCAAGAAAGAAAGTAGCCTATTTGTTGCTTAATATACTAAAGACAGTGTCACCTTCCCTGGGAAATAATTCTCGACACTTCACATTTGTCTTGGGAAACTTGACATAGCATCTTCTTCCCGAAACTCTCCACCCTCAGCCTCCATTCTGCTTCACTCTTGACACCCATATATTTACATCTCTACAATGATGAGTCTAAATTGATATCCATATTCCAACCTTTCTCCCAACCACCAAAATATATATGTAAGCAGTTGCTAAACATGTTTAATATTCACATCTCAGAGGTATCTCAAACCAGCATTATTGAAAACCAAACTGTATCTTAAAAACTTGCTCCTGCTTCAGCGTTTTCTGTTTCAATGATGTAGCTGCCTCCCTAGCCCTCGTTGCCCTCTCCACCATCCCACCATCCGCCACCAGCTCCTTTATGCCTCCCAAGTAGGTTTCGAAAAGAATCGATCCTCACTCTCCATACTAATGTCACCATAAATCAAGCTACTGTGATAGTCTCCTAAATGGCCTCTTTTTAATCTTTGCTCTGCTATTTATCACACAGAAATATAGTAATCCATTCAAAATTCAAAACTTTTTTAAAAAAATAGTTTTAAATGGCTTCCCATTGGCTTTATGTCAAAGTCCAGTCTCTTCAAATTGGCTTTCAAATCCTGGAGCCATATTCATTGATTCTGCCTATTCTCTCAACAGTCTACTCCTCAGTCATACTAGATTTCCCTGTGATCTATAATTCCCAAGTTTGGCTCACTCCAGGTCATTTTTCCTGCAGTTGCTTCCTAGTATTGCCAGGTCTCTAGTATTTAGTGGGACAATCTGTGCTATGACATCCTATCAAATAAGATAAAAAGTTTAAAATGGATGCATAAGTTCATTCCATATCATTAAATAGCCATTTTAATGTACAACTATCTGCTCTGGTAATGAATTTAAATAGCTATTGGTATCTGGTCAATGGTATATAAACAAAATGGCTGCCTCAGCGGTTCCCTATCAATCCAAGGGGATAAACAGGAATTGGTCATTAGGGCAGACTCTTCTTCTATTCTGGATGCATTCGGTGTGATGAACTCTCCTGGGCACACAGATATATGTCTGGACTCAAAGTACTTTAGGGGTCCAATGTTGAATATATAAAACTGCTAAGTAGTTTTAAGAGATAAAGAAGAATCTGCTTCCATATATGATGGAGCAGATGCTACCTTACTAACCCATCACCAAAACAAAGCTAAACTAAAAACAGCTCTTTGAAGACATCAGAGATTAGCAAAAGACAACCAAAATTCCTGAGAAAAGAGACCCAGACTTTCTTTACAGATTTTATCTTTAGAAGCATCTGTTACTTTTAAGTGTTGGTCATAGGGACATACGAGAAAGCAGCTGCCTACAACTTGGAATCATCTCATCGGCCTGAGGGAGGAATAATAATTAGGGGCTGTGTAAGAAGATAGAATGAAAATTCAAGATGCCTGAGAAAAAGAAAAGCATAGTAAGTGAAATCAACAATAATATAAAATCATCCTTAGAAGAATTTATTTCCTAAGTTTCTCATATACAAATACAGTTTCCAAGAAATCTAACAGAAAGGAATTTTCAGAGGCCAAAAGAAATATCCGCCACTTCCCAGTATTGGATATAAAGTTCAAGATCCACTAATGAAGAGGAGCTAAGGTACCCTAGGCATGCTGTCTAGAGGCTTTAAGGACTGAACCCTAAAAGGTGAACTCCAAAGGGACATGGCTTGACTAAAAGTAAGCTGATTATCTTCTACATGCTTAATTAAAAAAAAAAAAAAAGTCAAATCCTCTCCAGGGAAGAGTTACAAGGTGATTCTGAAATTGTCAAAATATCATGTCTACCAGTCAATCAAGAACTACCAAACATACCAAGAAGTAGATTAAATTGACCTCAAATTGGAAAAAAAATAATATGCATACACACAGACAATTAAGTTATCAGACATGGACTTCAATGGACTTCAATGTAAATATGTAATATATTTAGGGAAATAGACTAAAAACAACAGTTAAAACCCACTTCAATCTAATGTATGAAATATGATATGTCAAGAGCTTTGTAATGTTGTGAGCAACCAATAAAAAAAATAAAAATAAAAATAAAAAATAAAAAATAAATTACAGAAAAATTTGGAAAATATTGGAGCCATTCACTATGAATACAAGAATGTAGAAGAAAAATAACCAAAGGAAAATTATGCAACTGGAAAAATAGTAAAGTATCAGAAAGGGCACAGGACTTGTAAACTAAGCTTTAAAAATTGAGAGAAAGAGACAAAAGCACAAAGAGATAAATGGGTAGGAAATCTAAAAAAGAACTTTTTAAGACACATGTGGGTCAGGGTGAATAAATCCAATATTCACATGAGAGGAGAGAACTGAAAAGAAGGAATATTCAAAGAAACTGAAAATTTTTATAAAACCGATAATAGAAGTTATATGAACCATAAACAGTACGATTATAAGAAAACCACACTTACCAAAAATGGGCAAAAAGCTTGAACCAACATTTCACAAAGATGTCTGTCTACCCATCGGTCAGTAAGTACTTGATGGTGGCCTGCAAGGCTCTGCATGGTTTGCCTACATCTGTGGTTCAGATCTCATTTCCTAATCCTCTTCACCTCACCCATGAGCCTTCTTTCTTAGAAGTAAACCCAAGCCCATTTCTGCCCTAAACTCTGTCTACATGCACTCCTCACCTTGTTTGGAATGTGCTGCTCCTGCATCTTTATGTAACTGACTCCATCTCATCTTTTAGAGGCAACGGCAGACCACCTCATCTCTTTGTCACATCACAATATTTAATTCCTTCATAGAACTTCCACTATTTAATATCAGCTCTTTTATTTATGTCGTAAACAAGTGGTTGACCCAGAGCACAGAGCACCTAATCTCCATTTAAGCAAAGATATTGACTGTAGTGTTTACCACTATGTCAGAGCCTCAGAAGCCTTTAGTCTGGAACGCAGCACATGCTCAATATTTGATGGTTAAATTAAAAAGTGAATAGCTAGGTACATCCTTTCAAGAGCTAAGACACATAGTTGTTTTTATATTATTTATAGAGAGATAGTCCTAAAATGCTTTCCTCTCTTCTAGTTATCTGTCCCCCTCAGGCCAGTATATATTTTTGTACTTACATAATCACTTTCTCTACTAATTTTATCACCTTTTTTTGAGAGAGAGAGAGAGAGAGAGAGAGAGAGAGAGAGAGAAAGTTTTTTAATATTTATTTTTTAGTTTTTCGGCGGACCCAACATCTTTGTTTGTATGTGGTGCTGAGGGTCGAACCCAGGCCGCACACATGCCAGGCGAGCAGGCTACCGCTTGAGCCACATCCCCATTTATCACCTATTTTTATGTGTTCTGAATCCATACAGCTTTAGAGTTTCATCATCTAGTTTATCATGTCATTTTATATTCTTAACCTACTCAAAATTAGAAGTCAAATTATTTGCTTCTGCTGTTGCTATAAATGCATGCCACAGATTGGGTAATTTACACAGAATGAAGGTTTATTCAACTCATGATCCTGGAGGTAGAGAAGTCCTAGAGCATGGCACTAGCATGAGGGACTTCCTGCTACCTCGCACATGACAGTGGACATTGTGTGGCAAGACAGAGCAACTGTGCTAGGTCAGGTCTCTTTTCTTCTTTTATGAGGTCAGCAATGAGAGCCTGTGGCCCCACTCTCACAATCTCACCTAACTCCACCTTCCAAAGAACCCACCTCCAAATAGTGTTGGCTTTGGGGATTAGGTTTCCAAAGCAGGAACTATTAGTCTACACATTTAAATACTATAGCAAAGAACTAAGAACTCCTTGAAAGCATCATTTGATTCCTCTATACTACATATCATCTTAATGAACTCTATTTATGGTTTTTGTTTTTTTTT